GTGCGCAGTATTTTATGAAACATCGTCTCTAAACGCGCATTCTGTATACATTTAATTTTCTTGTTCGGACGGACGGACTTGTTTCTGCTACTGACCGTTGCATATATACATACATTTAGAATAATACAAGCTAATGACCCACTTAATGTAAAGTTTTAAATATCAGCCATAAATACGAACGGTGTCATGAACATTACAGAATACACTATAACGCCAATGGCATGAACTTGTCCTTGTTACAGTAAGAGATTTTAAATGAATTAATAAGCTACATTTACTGTAACGGCAATAGTCATATAACGATCCAAAATTGAATATTTCCCGTTTAATACAATTGTCGAGATCGAAACAATGTATAAAAACCATACAAAGAAAAGTACCGTAGATAGCCACCAACTATATATAGAGTAGATCGCGCCCACAATCTTTTATCTTATGAAGCAATAATATTGAAGTCTTTCAAGTAGGTAGCAAACTATCTACTTAATAATATACCTATATATACCCTTTCATTCTTGTCTTTGGATCTGAACATTTATTACTGTCTTATTGCTAGTGTAGGGGTCGTGCAAGTCAACAAGAGGGTTATTATGTTGGACTAGCGAAAAATGAGCAAGAAAACTTTCTGCATTCCGCATTGGTGTCACGGAACTGGGGAACGCCTAAAGAAAATTTACTTCTTTCTGCTGCACCTCACTAAAGAGTTCTGATTTATACAATATTCCACTTTTTATGGTCAGTAGATGTTGAAATTGAACATAATAATTCATTAGTTTTTAAATATAATAAAATTATTTCTCAAATACTAAAAAAAATAATTTCTATGATAAATGAAAAATAACATAAATTTAAAACAAATAAACTATTTATATATTTGTAATCTAAATTAATATTATTTTGCATTATAATTTTGTTTTGTATTACAAATATTATAATATATTATAAATAAGAAATATTTTTCCTATATATTTTGGCTTTAAAAATGTAATGTAATCTAATGAAAATTACTTTAAATAAAAATTTTCTGAGGGTTCAATCTAAATTTAAAGCGTACATTCTTTATTGTCCAATGCAAAGGAGGTGTAATAAGTATAATAAGGCTTTTATTTTTGTCTGTACCATTGTAGGGCCGAAATAAATAAACTGACTATATATTTTTTTTATTTTATTTTAAATAAGTTTGTTTTAGCGATGTTTGTAGTAGAATAGAATTATATTATCTATGTTTGTAGTGTTAAGCATTTTAAATGACTTCAAAAGAAAGATATTTTCCATTCAATGGTTGTTTAATGCTGTGCAATATCTTTGTAACTTCTGAAAATATTTTGACCATTCTTTTGCAATTGATAGTATTATTTGCTTGTTTGTTACGTGTATTATAATAAAAAGAGTTATTTTTACATTAAAATCTTAAATTATTTCATAAATACATATTAATTTACTAATTTATTATCGATTTATGTACCTATTAACAACAATTCGATATTTGCCACAATTTATTTATTACTTAAACGGATTGCGCGATCAAGCGGTTTGTATGAATATTATTTTGAAATTCCGTGTAAGCTTGTTGTGGCTTAATTTACCCAAAATGACGTGTCATCTTTTAGAAAAATCTTATTCAATTTAATTAAATCTATATATAATCTAAAACGATCTCTCAAATTTTGAACTTGAAAAATTGATATAGATACTAGTAGCTTATTTTTTGAGGAAGGATATTCAACATATGGTTACGGCCGATTCCACGAGATACAACTAGTATAATATAAAATGTATGACATAAGTCAAGACAAAAATTATAACTACAGTAATACTATCTACTCTCTGTTTACTATGATAGTATATTATAACGCTATATATAAGTGCTTTAAATTATTAACAGATTTTTTCATCACAATTGAATATAAAAAGGGTATTATATCGGGAAAAATACGCATAAGTACAAGAAGGCTAATTCGAGTTTTGAATTCGCGTATGTAACAAAAACCAATAAAGAGATACGAGTTATTTGTTGGTTTTAAAAGCATTGTACGGCAAAAAGGAATCCACGGTGTTATGGCATAATGCGTATAAAGGTACATTTGGTGCGGATTTATGAAGGAGGCCTCGGTTGGTTTATGATGACAATGCCGCGTCGGGGCGCCGCCAGTGCCAGTTCATTTCCTCACTGAAAGTTATAAAAACATATTGAAAATGAGATTCTCACAGTGGAAGACCTGGCGAATGTTATCTTGTTTTGTGATTTGACTGTTTTTATATACGAATATAAACATATTTTAAAGTAAGATATTTTCAGTTCGTTGCCTCTTGATACTATTGTACTGTATTTAGTCATAATTAATTTAATAATTAAATTTATTTGCGTAAACAATTGTACGATTCACGCGACAATTCTTGCCACGTACCATAAAAATATGAAACAAAGTACCTACAGCGACATTTCCGAAAAAAATCAATTTGGGAAACTTTCAAGAAAAAAATCTACACTCTCTCATTATATACACTCTTCTTTTTGTTGTCGTATCAAAGGTTAAAACGAAAAAGTTTATGAAACTGTAACTCGAACACGGAAAAAAATAATGAAAGGGAAAAGAGTTCCCAAACCGTTAACCCGATTAGGGATGAACATAATTAACTATGAAGTAAAAATACGTTAAATTGAGTACCTAACTATTGTACATTGAAGTAATTTAAATATAATAATTCACTGTTATACTTACATCTCCAAATGCTCTGACGATACATCTAAGAAGAGCATATATTATTAAGTATATTTTCAGAGTCTAATGTTAATTAATTCGAGTTTCTAAAGTCGCATAGACACGTGAAAATGTCGTATAATTTAGTTAACAAGTTTGTTACTCGGCTTACTTGCCATTTAGCAAAGCTCGCTTTACACAGCGTGATCTAATTATAACATATGGAGGTAAACTTACCCTCGGAATTACTCTTTGGACTAATATAACATATTGAAACTGATTAGCTCTGAAATTATTATCATAATAATTTCATAACATTATTATAGATGTATTTAATATACTCGTGTAATGTCATTATTAAAAAAATCGTTGCTAAATAAAACATTTGTTTATGATTACACATTCGGCAATTTACTATAAATGTCATATAATTATAATACTAATAGATCTTGTAATAATATTTTTTATCTAATTTATTACGTGATTTATCAATTCGAATTTAATAATACTTTTTTTATATTATTATTAGATTATTGACATTTATAATTGTCGCCGTGGTAGTATAATGGTTCACATTTTGTTTAAATGCAGGTTCTATGTATATACGGGTATTAGATTTTAATAAATAAAGAATGAAAAATATTATACAATTGTAATACCGACTTTAATATATCAATGCCTTCTCTTTTATACAATTCAACAATAATCAAATTGATAATTATTAACAATACCTTCATAATGAACGAATGTTATTAATTGCTAATATATCACTCACATGACTGAAATATTTAGACTAATAAATACATATTATTACATTTATTAATACAAATACTTTACATGATAATTCATGATAATCGTCATTATACGAGTAAACCTAGGTAAGTAACATTTTAAATAAATTTTATGAATTTTTAAATAAATATATATATATATATAATAAAGTCATATATTGATTTCACCGAGTCAATATATCTACTATTATATACGTGTCCTACCACGTATATTACAAATGTTCGTATTCATATTATGTCAGTCAGTTAATAGCCGTTATTAGCAGCCCTTAATTAGAAAAGAGTTTTTTACATTGTGGTACAAATTCAGTTAGGAAGCGAAAAGGACTATGTGATACATCTAGAACAATTTATTATTATTATTTATTTTATCATATATGTTAATAACTAAGATTTGAAATGCTGCGTTTTTAGACATGCCTATTTTCATAAAAAGCAATATATAAAAATGTCTTTTAGTAATAAAAGACGTTATGTTAAGCTTAGAATCAATTGTAAGCTGTATTTGTATATTTTATATCTTTGAGATAGAAAATCTTATACCACTTAAACTATACGATTATACATTCAAATATACGATTATTTTCTATAAATAAGAAATACAATTTCTTTTTTTGGTTTGGTATGAATATTTTTTTCATCGCATATCACTATTAACATGATATAGAAATCTAAACAAAAAAATTTTAAGCATAATAAAACATTTATGACAGATAAAATAAACTTCATATTAAACTTGAACTTGATAAGTACTCATACTAAGAAGTTGATACTAAAGACTGATGCTTATGCTTATGCAAAACTTATGGTCATCAAACCTAGTAAATTACGACTGCTATCAGAGTTTCGTCAATTTTGAAAATTTATATTGAATTTAGTAAGTTGCTATCTTATATTCTTTAATTAAATATATACATGTACTCATGAGAAAAATTAGTAAAGATATATGATGACACTTACCAGTGTATTTGACAGTCACACAAAACTTTACAAATCAAAAATTAAAACATAATGCATAACTTCCTCTTTGTATGTAATTCAATGTGGATGACTTTATTTGACAGCAACTAAAAATCTTCGCCATTCACACTGCTGATAACCCCGCTAGAATCAATCAGGTTTACAAATTTCTAATTTCAATACAGAAACTTACTGAAATATAAAAACAAACTCATGATGAGTTTATATTGTTTTCATTAGACGTTAAAATGTATTAAAATATTTATAAACTTAAGTTTTATATATAAACAATTTTACATATAACCTAAATAAAAATATACACTGAAAGTCAACAATAGCAACTGAAACAACATAGACATAATGAGGTACAACTACATAATACAAATGATGGCAAAATTGAAAATCTCGATCATAAGACAAACGTGCCAATTAGCGATGTCACACTCGAGCGAGTTAAAAGGACGCAAGACAAAGCCATTACTTTATCCGTGTGGAAGCTCACAAGTTGCTGTTTTCTGAGGATGTACAGGCAAAGATTGTCTCGTCAAGCCAGAGAGAGCTCAGTACGGCGCTCCTCGCGGTTCCGAGCGGACGCACTGTTGACGTGCTACGTCGTAGCACACCTTCCACCTTCTACGAAAGTTTGACATCGCTCGTACTTTGTCGCTAACAAAAAAATTTATAAATAGGACATGTTATCTATAAGTTAAATAGTTCGCGGTGACACTTTCCAATTGTTCTCCAATGGAATAATATTGCGGGTGGATACTTTTTAGAAGGATTCGTAAGTATAAAATTTTACTAAATAGTTTTAATGCCGCTTGTATTATATCTACGGTATTCAATTGGTAATTACATAATATAATATACTGCAATAAATAAGTATAATCTTAAATAATAATTTTTAAATAATTATAAGTTATTATTATTTTCAAAATTGTAAATTACCGTTAATGAGTACCTGCATCTAAATTTATTATCAACTAAATAAATTTGTAAGCTCTGAAATACTTCTAATTTGGTGTCACAATTGATACTTCCCTGGGAAAATCTGTATAACAAAGAAAATTACGTGAATGATGTATACTTGGGACCCTCTCGTTTTATTTCGGCGTCCTTTGTTTTGCGTCTGGGCGTCTCGTCAAATCGCTTTATGTAGCCTGTTCCTCGAAGATGAAAGGAAAAATAATTAGTTGTGATAATGTGAAATGTTTGAAAATAAAGCCTTAAATCCTTTCCTGTTTACCTTGTTAATTTTTTTATAATTTTTTACTATATACGTGTGTAATAATAATTAGATAAGTAGGCACTTTATGTAAATAAAATTGTGAAACTTTATATAATAATAAAATAGTAGTTTTTTATTTTTTCTATTTATACAGTTTTAAATAAACCTTCCAGAATAAAATCGTAATTATAATAATGGTCCCTCTGTTTTCTATTGTTGAAACAAACTCCTTAATAATTATATATATAATGCAAAAAATAATATTACGGTACTATATATAATCTACTAAACTAATATAAATAAAAATCAATCGTTAAATATATATTAGAGCATCATTTCCGATGCACCTGTTTGGTTAATTCTCTCTTTATTTTTGTAAGTGTCAGGTCAAGGTTTGTATGTAAGAAATTATTTGATAAATTGTACGGAAAAGTGACTTTGGGTTAAAAAATTTCCATTATAAAAAAGTGAGGGTCATACTCTGAAGGGAAGATTTGGTCTCATTTTCTCCGCTTGTACATCCATGCAAATCCAGCTCTATCTTATAATATTTATGTATTGTAACTTTTTTGATAGACGTAATATTGAGAGGAACTAAAAAAAAAGGAAAATTTATACTATCCAAACAATATTGTATATAAATTATAATGATAAAATCGATACTTTTATAATGATATACCAATTATCAGAATTTATAGATTCATATTATTATTTTTTTGCTAAAAAAATTAAACAAACATTGCAATGATATAATATTTAATAATTTAACATACTTGTATACATCATCCTGATATAAGGATGACGCCCTCTGGTGTCAACAGGTTTAGGGCCACAATAGTTATGTTTATAGAAAACCGGATGACGGAAATCATCAAAGTACCCTCAAAGGCATGAAACAAATGAACATCGTTTTTAAATTATCCAAACATGAATTGAAAATTCAGACATTTGTTCTTGGGACCCCTGGACCGTAGTCAAGGGTTGCCCGTCAGCCGTTACCGCTCATTCTTGTCTACCTATCTCCATTAATGACTATGAATAATATAAATTTAATGACAGAATAACAAAATCTGTTATTGATTTTATTATTAAACTAACGTTTTGCCTGCTACTTTGTATGCGTGAATTTCAGAAGTAGCAAAATCAATGAAATAGACTAATTCTAGTTGGTGTCACGGAATCAATCACGGAACAAATATATAGATATTAAAATCGTTAACAAAATTTTACGCCAGTGTTCTATCAGCGAAACTGTATATTTTTGATAAGAAAAATATGTTAAAAAATTATGCCATTATTATTTTATTTTTACTGACATGATGTGTCCAGTTAATTAGTTAAAATAGGAGGTTCAAAATATTTCTCCTTTTATTTTATTTTTGACTCCTGTAATTTTTATCCTAATATATTCTATGGTATTCAAATTTTGATATAGGTATAAGTTACGACGTCGATTTCATCTATATAATAGACTATTACACACTCTCACACTCACGGCTTACCATTAGACCATTTACTAGAGGGATAGTTTGTACAAAAGTAGTCTGCTTGGTTATCCCTGTCCTATTCGTATTTCTACCGTGAAGATTTTTGCATGGCTATGTTTCTATTTGAAGGATGGGATATAGCAATGAAAGGTAATATGGGTGACGTAGTATACTTTATTATGTCCATGTTGTTATTTATTACTATAGGTCACGGTTACCGTTTTTCATTAGGTGGGCCGTCAACTTGTTTGCCATTCTAATTTGCATAAAGAACGCGGGGAAAGAGATAGAGAATAAAATACAACAATACTATTAAGTATATTTTATCATCAAACAAACAACAAATACCGCGACACAAGAATTTTATATATTAGATTTTATTGAACGTATTAGTATACATAGCACGTGTGACATTGTAAATACGATAATAAAATTATTATGTACGAATCATACATAAAATGTTACTGTATACGTGCCGTTTATGACACCCATAACATTATGACTAAAACTATAAATAGAGAGAATAATATAATAGCCACAACTCTTTGTTTAAGGGATTTTGAAGAGGGGAATATATTTAATTTGTCAAAATGTGTAATCTTTCTTTAACTAATATAATAACTATTTAGAAATTTGTTACAATTCACAGATATAAAGACACAGATTAAAACTAAATTTATAACTTTTATTTGCGGCTTCACTCGCATGTGGTATTCAATTTCTCTCGGGAATCATTTTCCGTCTTATACATTATAGCTATTGCCCATGACTTCACCCGCATGGAGTTCGGTTACATTGAAAACCCTCATTTTATATCTTTCACCTACCTACCTACCTTCTTAGGAGAACAGTATTTTCAAAAACGATAAATTACTTTATTTCTTAACAAAAGACTAAATTTAAAACTTCACCTTCCTAACATAAAATTAACAAATTTACATACAAATATTTATCTAAATCAAATCATCCCCAACCTAGGGGTAAAATTTCCAAAAACTTCTGAAAAAAAAATATTGTTAATTAAAAGTCTAAAAATAAAATTTCATACTTCTAACTTCAAAAATAACAGAATTCCTATACAATTTTTATTCTCTATTTTACCTTTTTAGTGGTGAAATTTATAAAAGCGCTGAAAAGTATATTATTTATTTCTAATTAAAGGTTTTAAACAAAAGCTTCGCACTTCTAGCTTCAATTATAATAGAACTCCCATACATACTTTCATCCCCTACTCCACCTCTTTAGAGATAAATTCTTGAAAAGCCAATAAACTATCAGTTTTTTCTGAAATTTCACATGTCTAGATTCTAAACTGATGAAATTCCAAAAAACTTTCAAACCCTGTTTTATCCCCTTACGGATTGAATTTTCGAAATTCCTTTCTTATTGTTCACATACGCTATATAAAAATAGGTTCTTTATATCGCGTATGTGCAAAATTTCATGATTTTAGATTGAGTGGTTTCGCCTGTGTGCTAAAAAGTGTAGATGACAACGATTTGAAGATCTCAATGTTGAATCGCAGACACTGAATTTTCCAGTTTATATATGGATCATTTAAAAATAATTATCACTGATTGATGCTCCGGAAGCATATAAATCCGTAATCCGGTGAGGTCTTCGTGTAGAAAGTAGGCGGTCTAGACACTCTTGAGACCTGAGAGCCAGACACCATCACACGGATCGAATTTCCATCACTATCATTTACAGTAGCAGACATAGATCAAATTTTAATATTCCATACCGGTTATAGCAATATATATCATAATAAATTTTGAACCCGTTGGTAAATACGAGTCTAACCGCTGGTAATATGAAAACGCGCCCTTCGTATTCTATTTACCAAATAAACAATTTGAGTCGAGCTAGTTTCAATAACAAACCAGTAACTTTTCCAAATTTCCCCGCATTAATTACCTTAGCCAATCTAAACAATGTAATTTTGACATTGTTAAGTATACTGTAGACCTAGAATGAAATATTAACAAATAATGACGCAACGAAAATTTAAATAAAATACAAGCCCCGATCCAGTGTTATATTTACAGCACATAAATTGTGTTTTTATATTAAAAAAAAACAGGTTGTAAAAATGAAAATGAAATTGTTAAACATGAAATTAATTATGGTAAAATTAATACAGACCAGATGGAGTTGATAAATCAGAGTAACTCGTTTATTACAGTAAAGGTTTTACTGATTGATTTAGTAGATATTTTACGTTAAAGTCTATTTTTTATTAATTTTTCGGTACTTTCTTAATAAATAAAATATTTTTTTAAAAGAAATTAATTTACAAATCGATTTATAAATGAGATTGTATTTAATATAATTGACAACTTTTTTGGAAGTCGGTTGATAAAGCTATAGCAAAAAAGAATGAGCATGACTATAATCGCTACTGTAATGGTCAGTTTTTGATCGATTATTGCTATTGTGTTAAACACTCAACATATCTCTCACATACTTGTCACTTGGAATTATATTTTCTCTTATCGGTGTCACGTCATAGTAATTATTTTAAAATTATTAATAATAAAATTAAAAACTTATAATAAAAAGTATACAAATATCTTCTTTTTGCTATAATAAAACATATGATCACACCACCCTGAGTAAACACTAAGACAATATGGTCCATGAATATGATCAAACTAAAAGAGAATGATTTATTCTCAACGGTTAACCGCACTATGCCGGCTCATTTAGTTCTAATAAAACTTCCTAATTGATAATTTTAATTAAACGATATTAAACTTTATATCCTTGGCAAAATTAATTAAAGATATAAAGTTTAATATCGTTTAATATTAATCTAATATCTATGTTCATAAAATATTCAATGTCATGATAAATTATATATTATATTTAAAATATTGTTATGTTTGCAATAAAATTATCAAGTATTTATAATGTTATCATGAAATTACTCATAAATGAATTCATCACCACCATTCTTCATCACCGATTCATCGAAATATCAGAAAGGGAGGGATGAAGACCCGGATGGAGATGGAGAATAGGAATATTAACGACTTAAGGCTAGAGACCTTCCATTTATTCACACAA